AGCCTGGGTGCTAGAAAGATCCCTATTGAAAAGCGGACATTTAATTTGCAAGAACAAGTGTCTTCAGGTTCATGGTGGCATGGTGGTTGCTATTTTGCCATCATGTAAATGGATACAGTAGCAAAATGAACAGACTTCCTCCTGAAGGATTTGGTTTTGTCTGGTACTTCCTGCAACAGCAGTGTACCAATAAAGGCAATGAAACTGACATATTAACTGATAAAGGATTAAATATGTTACTGCTTATATGAAATGCGTAGCAATAGTAACATGTTCTAAGACGCTGTTTAGTAGACAGCTGCTGCTGCCTTCGCTGGCAAACTCTTTCCTTTTCAAACAGAGAGGATAAAATAAATATTTTGGATGATGACGAAGAGCAAGTGGGCCTGCAACAGTAATTTTGTTCAGTTTTGTTTTCATGTTGAGTAGCCCTGCAATATGCAGCCCAGGCCTCCAGCAGTAATTGGCCAGTTCCTATTTTCTTTGGATCAGTCCTCATGTTTTTCTTCAATGTTTTGGGCTTTGCTGTTTATAGAAACGATGTCTTCCGTTTCAGATGTGAAACAGATCAGAGTGAGGTTAATTTTCTCAGTTACAACCAGTTCAAGCCTGTAACTCCTCAGGTAATGCTCTTGTTTATTAAGACAATAAACTGCAAACAAACATAATTGTTCTATATAAGAAGTAGTAGCTGATTGGGCTAATTATCACTTAGCTTTTTCATGAATATTTGCCTTTTAATATCTTTCATTTGTGACTAAATGTGGAGTTGTACTTTCAGTCCTTCATAACGACAATGCTCACCTTTCAGAGAGCAACTGTGTTTTTCAAATTAAATCATATCTGCGTTTTCCACCTTTATTATGCCACCTAAGCATTTATGCATTTGATATATGTTAAAAACAGGCTTGCAAAATACTCCAATATATGCCCATTTTAGCTGACCCCACACAGTTGTAAATGTCCTGACAACCATATGTCTCTGCTACATTTTAGGTATTCTAGGCATTCCAACTGGTGATTGTACTGGTGCCTGGAGCCTGTCCTCTATGCAATGTTGCAGAAAAGAACCACGTTTGCAATTACCACTGTAGAGTAGTTACATGACAATTATTCCTCATCTAAAAACCCCTTCATTATATGAATAATCTTTGTTTCTAGGTATAGATCAAAGGTTCAGACAATAGCATGTTTTAATGGCCTGCTGCTTTGCCTTCTAGAGGAATGTCTTTGTGATAAGGTGATTATTTATATACGTATTTTTATTGACAACTTGGTAGAATACATTACTTTTCTCAACAGATGCAATTGGATGTGCTTGTCACTGGTTCTTAACATTACTGGCCTTCTGGGAAAGGCTATTCCAAATTCCTTCTCAAGATATCAGAAAGCGTTCAAGCATTTGTGCCAAGGAGTGCCACTGCTGCAATCTGTTGTGGTGACAGCACATTCATCGATATTACCCTAGAGTGTATAAAAAGCTCAGAAGTGTGTAAAAAATATATATAAAAAATAAAAAAAAAATTAAAACAACTTTTTTTTGTGTCCAGTCATGCTTTGATTTCAGTTAGTTTTGTTTGTATACAACTGCAGTACTGGACCCATAGAATTTTCTGCTGTCTCACATCTGAGTAGCAATTGCTCTGTCTAAAGCTGATAGAGTAGCAATTAAAATGAAGTCTGCATACTAAAGTTATTCAATAAAGTACGTGCATTTTTCTAGATTAGAACAAGATGTTTTCTCATGCTATATTTTCTTTTATAAGGACTAATATATATTTTAGGCTTAGAAGTAATTTTAGTCCTGTGTTGAAGTGAGGTTATGGAAAAAAAAATAGATTTCAGAAATGGAAAGAAAGGACGAGTTAGTTTCCTGTATACAATACAGACAAATTGCAGTATTAATGGTCAGCTGTTTTTCATTTGCTTTTCAAATATCTTATATTTCTTAGGGGGAGAAGAAAACAAAAATTAAAAAGAAAAGGTTTCCTCCTGTTCCTTGTTCATCATTTTTCCTGTCTGAATTGAGAAATATTTTTTCAGGATCTCAATAATCCACGAGACTTAGATGCAGAATCACAGGATGATTGAGATCAAAAGGGAATTCTGAGTCTATATGGTCCAAACCCTGCTCAAGCATGGCTATCCAGAGCAGGGTGCCCAGGACCATGTCCAGGCAGATTCTGAAGATCACCAAGGAGGAGATTCCAAAATCTCTCTGGCCAACCTGCGTCAATACTCTGTCATTTGCACAGTACAGGAGTGCTTCCTGGTGTTTAGATAACCTTTAGTGTTCCAGTTTAAGCTCACTGCTTCTTGTCCTGTCACCGAACACCATTGAAAAGAGCATGTCTTCACCATCTTTTCATCTTCCTTTCCAGTATTTATATACACTGATAAGATCCCAGAGAGCCCCCTCCAGCTGAACAGACCCAGCTCTCTCAGCTTCTGACAAGAGAGGTGCTCCAGTCCCTTGATCATCTTGGTGGCTCTACAGTGGACTGTTTCCACTATGTTCAGGTTTCTTTTGTGCTCAGGGTCCCAGAACTGGATTACTGATATGGCCTCACCTCTATTGAGTAGAGGAGGAAGATCACCTCTCTTGATCTGCTGGCAATACTTTGTGTAATGCAGTCAAGAACACTGTTGGCCTTCTTTGTGGCCAGGGCTCATTGCTGGACTCATTCAACCTGGTGTCCACCAGGACTCCTAGATCTTTTTCTACAAAGATGCCTTCCAGCTGGGTGACACCTAGCATGTTCTGGTGCCTGGGGTTGTTCCTCTCCAAGAGGCATTCCTCCTCCAGGTACAAGATTCACCACTAGTTAACAACAATCCAGGAACCAGAAATGTTAAATGGAATCTATCAGTCTCTTTAAACATAGCCTGAAGCCTGTAACACTTAAGGGCTGGAGAATAGCTTTGCTTCTTGAATGAAATTTAACTTCTCTAAAAGAGACAAACAAACACATATTTTCAGCAACAGTCGCTGTAAAAGCATTAGAAGTTGAGATGCAGGTGACAGTGTTTGAGTCCTTCTAGGAATACTTAGAAAATTCAGGAAAAATTGCAAGAAAACATTTTAGCACCACCTGTTAAGCAGTTCCAAAAAAAGGCTGGGTTGTAAGAGTCTTCTAATGCCCACCCACAAAAGTAGTCCCTGTTATGTGATTGGAATTGCATAAAAGGCATCAAAGTGATGTCAGTACTAACAAAGTACTGACAACAGATGTGTGATTTCTTTTTAATTTGGTGATCGAGATGAAGACAAATTTCAGTACATTCACTGTATTAAAGCATTAATGTTGTGTTATTTTTTCCCTATGGAAATCAGTTATATGTTGCCTAAAATATATATCCAGCCAACACTATCAAATTTGTGCAATAATAAAAATAAATAATAACAAATAAATATCAAATAAATTATTTGGTATTTGCAAGCATTTCAAGTGGAATAAGAATCGCTGTGCTAACTTCTGTTTGCATAATATGATGTGCTTTAGTTAATACAGGCTTAATTTTTTTGTTGTATACATCAGTGTTCATCTGGAGTTATTCTTTGGAACTTAAACTTGTAATCTTAGGTAAAAAGATCTTTTTACTTATAAACAGAACACCATATTTGTTGCTACTGAAAAGAAGAATTTATTTCTATGTCATAGGTACAGTGATGAATTGTACTAAAAGCATGTTCAATCAGACATTCATACAAAATTAAAATAACTTCATCACAATCTTGTCAGTATATTTCCATTCCTTATTACGCTTCTGCAGCAGATTTCTAAACAATTCAGAAAGGCCAGAAGACTGCCACAGCCCCCAGCCCATCAGGGACTTTCCTATTACATCCAGGAGCACGGCAGAGCCAGGTCTGTCATGGGAATGCTTGGGGACCCTTTTGGGGCTGTCTAGAAGCTGGACTACCTATCACTGTATGTTTATTTTGGTGGTCACAGTCAGGAACATTTTGAAAGTTGTTCCAATTCAGATGAGATTTCCCGTGAAATGAAAATTCTCAAATTCCTCAGTTCCATTTTTTTTCACTGGCAAACAAAATGTGCATTATTGCTTTTTAGTGCAAATGTTTTTCTGTGGCCAATTCCATCATCAGTTTCTGGAACACATGGATGGTGATTTTATCTCCATGTAAAGAAACCAATTTCCCCATGGTTGCCAATGCTTCTCTTTCCTGTATTTGCCATTTGTTTTCTGGCACTCACTGTATTCTCAAACGTCTCTCAACTTCTCTTTCTGCCAAGTTTGCACCAGTTTTGTCATCATTTATATTGCTTTCAATCAGCTTCCCTCCACCCTCACTCCCACCGAGACTCATGCCTGTGTTTCAGTGTGGTGCTGATTTTAGCTCAAGTATTTAGCAATTACTTGAGATGACCCTGAAGCCTTTTTTTCCCTATTATGGAAGGAATTACATAATAAACCTGGGGTTTCTTTGATATGATTCCGTTTCTTTACAGAATGAAGTCTGTCTCCCAGAACACCCTAAGAAGTATTTCTGTGGCTTACACAAAAATTGTAAGTGCTTCTTTCACTTTTTCATTGTTTTCCTGCCTCATTTCCTCCAGCAGCACTCAGCACAATCCCTGGCGCATGAGTGTGCAGTCAGACTGGTCTCTAGCCACACATCACACCCACTTCAATTCCCGCTTAATGAGGAGCCATAATTGCTTCTTCCATCATCTTCAGTGAAACGCATTCAGTACACCCAGAAAATGACGTGACTGCCTTTGCGTCAAACGTACAGCTGCTCTGCGCCAGCCAGCCTCTACATTATACTCCTACAAGCGCTCCTGGACGTTTATTCACGGTCTCGTCCTCCGGACACGCTTGCTCGGGCCACCAGGATCCCGACAGGGGCTGGGGCCGCCGTTAGCTAGCAGACGACGCATGAGGCCTCCCGCCCAGCAGGGGGCGCTCTTTCCGGGAGCCGCGCCATCAGCAGCCCCGCGCACGCGTCTCGACGCCCCGCGCCGGAAGCGGAAGCGACCGGCTCCAATCTCGGGAGCGAGAGCAGCCGCTGCCCGTTGTTGTTGTGGTCGCCGCGCGATGGCAGCCACGGCGCTTCCCCCGCTGCCGCCGCAGTTCAAGAGCATCCAGCACCATCTGCGGACCGCGCAGGAGCTGGACAAGCGCGAGCCGGTGGTGGCGTATTACTGTGAGTGCTGCGGTCGCAGCGCTGCGCCGTCCCGCTTGCCCCAGGCCCAGCTGGTCGCGTCCCGCCCCTCCTCGCCGCTCCCCCCGGGCCATCCGCCGTTGGTCCCGGCGCAGCGCTCGCCTTCCGCCGCCGGTGGGGCTCGCTGGGTGCGGGTCGGGCCCTCCTTTTTGGGGCGGTGCCGTGCTCTTCCCGGTGGCAAGCCCCAACGCGCCGTTCGTCTGCTGTTTCTCAGGGATAAGCCTCTTAGCAGTCGTAGCAGATAGGTCTGAAGCTTGAATAGGTGTTCGTGCCCACGTTTGTAGAGCAAATGCGTTCTGCCTTAAGATAATTCTAACAGATATCGTGCAGAACTATCCCGGGAGTCTTTTCAGAGGTTTTTTCCTGCTGAAAAGGCCTCCTGCTTGTTTTGTTTCTGAGTAAGCAACTTGGGATCGAGAGTCCTTAATAATGTTTATTTTCTGTTAGGCTAGTACTGATATTTCTTTGGGGTTCTTGAAGCAGGGAGAAGTGGCTCGGTTTTATTCACTTTCATTGCAATGAGAAGAGCAAAAATCATTCTCTCCTGTGTAAGTCTTTCAGACTAATCCATCTAATCCACTGTTCATGAGGGTGTGAGCTGTGAGCCTTTCTTTCGCAAGGGTTTACACCTCTTATCAGGAAATGTCAGGCTGTTGTAGTCACCTTCTACTTCTGTCACAGTTGATCACCACACCTGAAAGATCCCTAAGGCTAACAGATCATAAATAGGTTCAAACTGCAGTCAGCAGAAATGTATCTTTATGTAATTTTCTTTTTTCAATTTATTTTTTTCATTGTTTTTTTTTCTTGAGGAGGGAGATCATTTGAGGGGATTACTAGGCAATAGCTTGTGTTCAAAGCATTAAAAAAATTACAGGTGGAACAGATGGATTAATCTGTAACTCAGTCTTAGTTTTAGAAGGTTAAATTTATAAAATTCAGGCTTAAGAATGCTCTGAAAAGCACTCTGTCAACTTAGTGTTGGAAGAAGAATGGCATTAATTTTTTGCATTGCAGAGGAATACTGTGCCAATGTAGGAAAGTACCACCAGATGAACCAGACAGCCTTGTTGCAGAGCACTGGATATTGTCAGTAGTGTCTCTTTTTTACTGGAAAAACACAGTTATTTGTATGACAAGAAGCATCCTCTAGGTCAAGATACATTGTAATTTTGGTTTTGTTTTTTTATTAGACACCATATCTGGATATTTAAAAAGAAAGATATTTTGTTATTAGAAAAATAACAAAAAAGTTTTTTTGTACTTCTGTAATTTGATTGTTTTTTAAATTTCTTTGCTTTTTTCACTTCAGTACTTCTGCATATATTTGATTTTAGTAAATCAGCATATCCTGGCCATATCTTGACTATATTATGGAGGTATATTTTGAATTACATTGTTCCATTAAAAAAAAAATCAAAGTGAACTTTCCAAGACAAGTCTTGGATCCTATGTTATTTTAAATACACAAAAGAGGTGAATTTATTTTCACTGTTTTTCCACTGATGAGGCTTCTTTCCTTCTATGACTGATACATTTGGCTGGATTTACTAAAATGCATTGTTCATGTTTCAAAAGATTTCATTGTTTATTTTTGATGCTAAAATAGATTTATGAACTTTTTTTACAGGTTTTTACTAATTTCTAAAGTGCCAAACATCTACTTGTTCCCTAAGATCTGTGTTTTTGAAGTGTAAATCTAAGCATATGAAAAACTTTCAGAATATTTTTCATGAAAAACTTTCAGAATATTTTTCAGGTCATGTTTTGAAACCAACACTTTTTACATAGTGCTAAAAGAAATATTTCTCACTTGAAAAAAGGTTCAGAACATCTTTGTTTTGAGCTTTTGAAATACGTTTCAGAGGGGGCCTATACATTTCCAATAACAAATTGTGTGAGAAATGCTAGCTGTGTGCTGGAATGCACCAGCACAGCTCTGTTGTGTATGTCTGGAAAGAGATATATGGGAAGGGCCAGTCTGGTGGTGAGGCACAGCAGTCAGCTGACAGGACCCTGTGGTACAAGCTCGTGTGATGAGACAGTGCTGCAGTTCTGCCAGAGGGCTGCTTGCACAGCTGCTACATGAGGGGGAATGTCTACAACTCAGTAATATGTTGCGTGCAACTGTCAGACTGGAGATGCTAGTTAAGGTGTTTATAACTTTGGACCATTGCTGCCAGTGGGTCATCCACAGCTGAACATTTTCCTTCTAATGTTAATGTCTTCATGGCACAGTTGTTTTGAGTGTGAATATATATTGGGTATGTGCATTCTACCTGTATATTTCTGAAAGTAGGAGTTGCAGAAGTTGATTTGAATACCAGAAGGAACTGAATTCTGGTTAAAATGTATTTCCAACCTGAAATATTACTTTCTGTACCATAGCAATAAAATTGTCAGAAGGAAGTACCTAGTGCTCATGTTAATATTCTGTATATCTTCAGCATCTACTGAAGCCAAAGGTGTATTTTTATAGATTAGAATTTGTATGGCAGTTGCACATTTCTTTGGCATATATCACTTTAAACTTTCTCTCACTTTTTTTTTTTTTTGGAGTTGAGTTCATCTGAAGCATTAAGTTACCATAAACCAGAACTGCCACCCAAGGAAGATACTGTAGTACTCTGGCTTCACGTTCCTACTCTAAAGATACTTGAGGCAAATCTTTATGTAATTACATGGTGGACAACAACACCAAGATATTTCAGCTGTGCCCGTTGCACTACTGCTTAAACAGCTGCTGCTCACGTAAAGCCGAGGAATAAGCTTGGGGAGAAAGCAGGATTCGTCCATTTCGATATTGCTGGCTTATGTTGATTTAAAGAAAATACAATTTGATAGTCGTTGACCTCTGTTTTAGACAATACAGATAGCTGCAGTAAGGATGCTTTGTGTTTTTCAACTACCATATCGTTTTCCATATGAAAAATAAAATTCTGCAGAATAACATGGATGCTGTTATGCAACTTACCACATTTAATGTTTTACTTTCTAGAAATACTGCTGAAATTAAGATCTAGTTTTATTTCTTGTGGTCCTGCATGTTCCTTGCAAACCCTTCATGCTAAACCATATTTTTGTGCATTCTAAATAGCGTATCAACAATTAACTGTTGATTTGTACACGATAATATCACAAGATGATTCTCCTCTTAGATCAGAAATTTATAGTTAATGAAGTGTTCAGGACTGTTATAATCAATGCTTTCTTTTAATATCTGTACTGTTCCACCCAATGCTTTTTTCACAGTTTTTATTGTTCTATTGATTAAAACGATACTGTAGGTGTTTCATGTTCACTAAGGGTCAGTTGATTGAATAGGTACAAGGTAGTACCAGGAAAGTAGGCTACGTAGATTGCCCAGCCAAAAGACTCTGTGATTTGTAATCAATAAAATAAGTTAAAACAAACAAAAAAAACCCTTAAGTGAGTGTGACTTTTTACTTTGAAGATGTTGTGGTGCAAACACAAGGAGGCAGGCTTTGATAAGAAACGCCTTGTCTGCATAATTACTGAAGAAATCTCTAAACTGTGCTACAGGCAGTTTTATTGAAAAGTTACTTTTTTGAAAGACTGTGTGGTTTGAGAGGTAGCTCTGTCTTCTGAAAACATCTGCATTTATACCTACAGCAAACATTTTCTTAATAGACATTTCTTCAGGTATTCAGTAGTGTTGGAGTAGTAACCAACCAACTTTTCAAAGATGGTTGGTTCTGCTGTTTATTTAATGCTTGCGTACTTGTTGCTCATTGATGTTTTAATTAAAGAAAACGTTGACAGAGCACCAGTGAGTTGCCAGAAAAACATAGGTGCTAAGTGATATGCAACCTACAGTGCAGTTTACACTGGGTCCTAAAACCCAATGTCAGTGCAGCATGAAATCGTATTTTAGTAGCTTCTGCAAAGCAGGACTGTGATTGTTTTTGTTTTGCAGTATGGTACATTTCAGAATTCATTAATGCAATTCAGTACACTTGATCTGTCTAAAACGGTGTGAAGAAAACCCCACAATTCTTAAATTCTTCATATACAAAAGCCCAATAAAAGTTCATCTGAAGAATATTGGTATTGTGTTGATGGCTGTTTGTTTGTTTGTTCTTTTAATGGGACCCTGTGAGAGAGAAAAGCAAAACAAGTGTTTGTCTGGGTTTTTGTTGTTGATTTTTTTTTTTTTTCCTCCCCACAGCTAGTCTTAAATCAAAAATCATTCAGCCCTTAGTAGAAATACCCGTCTGTTAAATTTGATTGTAAATTTCAGGTTTAATCAGACATCTATGAAACACTCTTTTCAATGTAAACCAATTCTAAAAACTACAATTTTATAGGAGGAAAAAAAGACAAAATAGAGTTTGTGGAATATGTCAGAGTCAGAACTTTGGGAATATAGAATTGCTGTCTAATTTATGATTAAAATACTGTTAATTTTTTTAAAGTTCCCTTCTCAAATCAGAAAAGCAATAGCTGATACCCTGAGCATTCTCAAGGCCTAGCAGTCCCAGTTCTGCTCTTTCTGGTAAGAAAGATGCTCCTAGTCCTTTTATCATCGTTGTGGCCCTTCACTCTTGTCCTGGAAGGCCCAGAACTGGCCCCAGCACTCATGTTTCACCAGTCCTGTGTAAATGGGAGGGATCGACTCCCTGAGCTTACTGGTAGCACTTCTAGTGCAGAGCAGGATGCTGTTAGCAGGTAAGGTCAGACAGCACGAGTGCATTTGGAAACATAACTCACAGTCATGCCCCCTTAGGGAGCTTTGGTTCACCTCACAGAGTAGTTTGTGTGTGTAAAATGGATTTCTTCTGGTTTAAATAAAACTGGAAAGTGTTCTGCAGAAGTGCTTCAAATTGTGGTCTAATCATTACAAGCTGTTTTATCCGTATGACTTGAGCATAACTGGTCCAAAGTGTCTGCCTTCTACTTTTGCCGTCTTGAGATCTCAATTATTATAGATTCTATAGTCAAGGTAGCTTTTCTATTTTAAT